CCCTGGGCACCTGGATTCCCAGGAAAACCTCTCCCCAACTAGGGGGAGGGTATGGGGCTAACCTTCCCATCATGGGCTGCCCCATCTCTGGCAAGCACCTCTTCCCCAGCTTGCCCTTGACCTGCACCTGACCTTTGACCAGGTATTCCACCTGTGGACTAAGGGAACTGGGGCTGACTGGAGGTGATTAGCAGGTAGCCTACAACTGAATTCCTGGAGAATGGCTGGTGACTTAGGGCACTCCCTAGGCAGGGGTTCTCTGAGCACGCCTGGTGCACCCTGGGTTCCACTGAGACAGGCCTGGCAGGCAGTGTTACCTACTTTTCCAGTTAACCTTTTAAGGATGATTAGTAATGCTGGGTTTCTCCTCTATTGCAGGGACTGAAAATTTCATTTCAAAATAATGATTTAAGTGTAGCCAGGCATGGTGGCACATGCCTGTACTCCCAGGGACTGGGGAGGCTGAGGTAGGAGAATTGCAAGTTCAAAGCCAGACTCGGCAGCTTACTGAGGCCTGTTTAAACTACAAAGAGCTGGGGATGTGGCTCAGTGGTTAAGCATCCCTGGGCTAAAACAAAAAAGAAGTATCAATGACTAAAAGGAAAATATAAACTAAGAAATAGGATTGGTGGTGTGTACCTCTGACTCAAATCACAAGAGGAAAGGCCAATGATTGAAGTGTAAGAAATACTTGCCAAAGGCAGATGGAGACAGAGAGATGGAGGAAGAGGATCAGAGACAGAGCGACAGAGAGAGGGAGAGCAACCGGGTGCCAGAGCAGGTTCCATGATCTCCCGTGGCCCTCCCGGAAGGCGTGGAGCCTGCACTGTGGGACCGCAGGGTAGAGAGTAGGTTCCAGGTCATACGCCATTGTTTTTCTTAAAACTAAACTTATGTCCCTTTTCTGTGAAGGTGTGCCAGAGTTCCTCCATTATAGGAAGCTGACCAAGAGAATCAAGGGAGAGACCAGAACCCAGGCAGGACAGGATGTTCTGGGGCAGCACTGCCTAGAAGCCTGGTGGGAATGGGGGTTCCAAGTTGGGGGCTGCATCTGACCACAGATGGGCATCTGCACACACACGAACACATGCATGTGCAAATGCACGTCCACTCAGCCCACCAGCCAAGCTGGGTGCCTGATCATCTACCAGAGGTACCGTGGAAGGGCCTCTCCCTGCATACCCAGCCCTTCACCTCAGGCCAGTGCCAACTCTGTGCTTCCTGCCTATGGAAGGGGCTGAACCTCAAGGCCTAGTGGGCCCTGGGCAGCCACCTGCTACTCAGAAAAGCAGATGCTCCAAAGGACGGGTGACGATCGAGGCCCAGGACTCCACGAGGGTGGGGTGCCCAGCCCTGCAAGGCCATCTAGTGGGCCTCAGACTCATCTCACGAATGTCTAGGCAAGGCCCATCTCAACATGCTGGCCAGGGTGGAGCTCACCACGGATGCTCTAGCTTTTGTCCCCTTGGCGTGCCTGTGTCTTGCCTTCGTGGCTCTCGCTGTGGCCACTCTCTGAGGAATGGGGCAGGGCTGCCCAGGGCCTCCTTCTGGGGCCCAGGCCACAGTCACAGGACACCTTCTCCAGGTGGCCCCATGCTTGACTCTCCTGCAGAGGGGCAGCCCCTCTGCCTGGCTCGGGGGCACAGTGAGATGCCTGGGGCTGGCGGGCAGGGACAGCGCTCAGGACAGTGAGAGCCACTCCTCAGGCTGCCACTTCCTTGGCACAGCCCTCGAGGTCCCGGGGACACCAAGAGCAGTTCTCAGCCCCTCTGAGGTGGGGGGCAGCAGGTCTTGTCCTGAAAGATTCTCAGAGAGGGTGGGTAGAGGGTCCAGGGTGTCCTGTCCTTGGGAGCAAACAGGCCACTAGCAGGGTGAGGGGGACACAGTGCAAGGAGTGTGAAATCCAAGCCCTGCCCTTCACATCAGGTAAAAGTCACCTGCAGGGTTGACGGCCACCTCCAGGACTCCCTTTGCCCGGTGTCACAGCGGGGTTTCTTGTGAGGCAGCACCCCGCCCCCGACTTGCCAGCTCACTTGTGGGGGGATAAGCAAACCCAGAGG